CGAGAAACAAAGATATTGAATTGGAGATTTTCTTTTGGACTTTTACCAAAAAAGTTTCAAATAGCCAATAAATAGGAGTGAGAAACTATAGCTTTCCAGATGTTCCTGGATTATAACTTTTGATAGACTGACCCAGCCAGTGAGGTATCCTGGGAATTGTAGTTCAACATGTTTGGAAGGCCTCAAATTCTGCACCTGAATAGCTGATAGTACTTCAAGGTGGGGGAAACCTAGGGCCCTTATACTGTTCCTAGGAGCAGATCAAGCTGGTAGTTGAGCACCGAGGAAGTTTAAATCAGCATGGAGTGGGGGTTGTTACTGCAGCTGCTGCAGCACACTCAAACAGACAGAGTGTGTGGGATGTTAGGCAGAGAACTTGTTCTCATTAGCTGGACTCTTTTAACTACGTCAGTATCCCTTTGCCTAATAGGAAAAGGTCGGAGACAATAATTTACTAATAGAGACCAGTACAGTCTGGAATCTTAAAATCACATTAGTTCTGCTGACTTTCTAATGCCTTAGAACCCTCTTTCCCAAGCCAATGTTCTTCAAATGTATCGGACTAAACATCTCAATAATCCCAGTTACTGCAAAGTTGAAAGAGAATGACAGGAACTGGAGTCTAGGTACCTGGAAGGCATTATATTGGGAAAAGCTGTTTCAGTGCTTGATTGTAGTAAAACAGTGTTCTCAATCTTAGCAATTTATAGATATGTGGACTTCATCTTCCAGGGGTTTCCCAGTCAGCTGGGAAATCCTGGGAGTTGAAGTCCACATGTCTTAAAGTTGCTAAGGCTGAACAATTACTATGTAATAGAGAAAATAATGGGCTGGGCAATGTATCTGGATTGGGACCCTTTTGCCCTCTAACTTTTCCCCCTCTCTACAGGCCTAAGCAGATGAGAGCTGCTGGAAATTACAATTCATCAATATTTGGCAGGCTGTGAATTCATCACTGATGATCTATATGAAAAGTGGATTATTGTATTAGAAAAAAAACATTTGTTTTTCTCTCCAGTCTCTTTTTACCCAGCTTCAGCACATTATGCAACTTATTGAGGCAAAAGCTACTTGAAAGGAAGCATAAAGGAGACAATTAGCCCAGGATTAAACTAGATGACCTATTAAATTATTTTTTTCCCAGAAAATGAAAAAAAACACCTTTTGCTATTAATGGTTACGACATAAACTGTTATTGTGGGAAACTAACAAACAAAAAATACTTAGCTTGTTATACTGAGGTATTGTCAATCATACAAGGCAGACCAGACCAGGAAATCAACTCTACAAGTAGGCTAGAACTACTTTTATTGATTATAGTAACAGACTCTTCCAAGAGTGATTGTGCTATGCTGCCTCCTCCTTTTGAATGAGTTAGGAAGGTTGAACCACTTTCAAATGTTATCTCATGTTCAGGACTCTTTGTGCCAAGTAATGGTTACTACATATCTCCATTCAGGTAACCTTCCTTACTCTCTACAGATGTAAAGACAGTGAACATTGTTCCCATTCCAAATTTGTTCAGGAAATGGATTTTACTGTAATAAACTGAATTGAATTAATGGATTGATTTTACAGAATTCTGTGTGATTGCTTGTGAAGAACTTTCCTTCTCTCATTTGATCTGTTCACAAAATATTCCACTATGCCATTTTCCCACGATCTTCCATATCTGTCCTATTGCCTAATAAGAAAGTGGTGGTGATTCTATCATGATGGATGACCAAACAGAGCTTTCTTTTCCATTAAAGGAAGTTGCTGAAATGTATCTAAATACAAGTCTGTTCTGTTTGGGTTGTCCAAACTGAGCTTTACGTCAAAGAATCATGTGAATATGCTTCAGACTGCTTCACATCTCTTTGAACAAACTAGACCCACCATTTGTGGTCACATAATGGTCTTTTCTGTATGGTGGCCCATTTTCATTCAGCTCAGGGTCTGTAGCTATATAAATGAATCTCTATTAGATACTTGCACAGTTCTTCCTGCTTCCTCACAGAAATATAAACATAATAACTGTCTTGTAGACTGAAAGAAAATGTCCCCTTTAAAGGCCCATTACTTGTTAACTGACTACAGTAGGGAAAGGAGAGATGATGCTTGTTGCAATCTAAACAGCATTGGTAAGTAATCATGCGGCTTATTCATGTGGTTTGTTGTGTGTAAAATGTACATCCTGCTTTTCCTTTAGGAGCTTAAGGCAGTGCACACAGCGCTGTCTCCTTTAGTTTTTCCTTTCCACCACGGGTGTCAAATGTGGTGTCACATTGCGATGTTTTGTGACGTTTTCCCCATTTGTGGAGCGGGGCAGGTCTGGGCCTGGCCTGCGCCTGACACATCCGGCCCACAGGCCGCCAGTTTGACACACCTGCATTTACCCTGTAATATAGGAGGTTCCACAGAGACGATGATGATGATGATAACAATAACAACAACAACAACAACAATTGGTATTTGTGATGCATTTTTGAATGTTCAGTTGACTGAGTTTCATGTTTAATGAATAAAGTATATAATAACAGCCTTTATTGTCATTGTACATCATGTACACAACGAAATTCGTTTAGTACTGGTGCAATCCATGAGAAAAAATACAAGACAGTACAGAGACTAGTTTATCCAAAATCATCAATAAGTCTCAAGTATGTGAGTGAACTTGAACCCACCCAGGTATCCTGTATTTTAACCCTATACCACACCCCAGGAGAGAATTTTATTCTGTAATTGTCCTGTCTGGGGGAGGGAGGCAGTCCAGAGTATACCATCTTCTACTTGCATCCCTTTTCCAGCAAAAAATAGGTAATGTCTTTTTATCAGTAGTTTAAGACTGTTCATATAGACGTTTCCCCCACCTGGATTTTTTGTTTTACTCACTTGCTTCTGAATTAGCAGGAAGTCTTCTTTTGGTCTTTTATTCTATATCTGATTCATTCATATCCTGTCTTAATATTGGGAAATTATTTTTCTGTAAGTTTCAGTTACTCTTTGTTTGTTTTAGATAGGTTAGCTTGTGGGAGGGTGACAGGGTCACTGCATTAGGCAGCTTGCATTTTGTCAAACTGCTTTGATTTTATAGGAAAATTGTCTGAATGGGGAAGTAAAGGATGACATAAGGCTCCTCCCTGTTTCTTTTTTGACCTGGTTGTGTTTTATCAGTGATGAGAAGGAAGCAGGAGGGCTTCCCTCCTGCTAGAGCCAGTCAAGCAAATAGCCCCATGACTGAAAGAGGAGGAGGAGGAGCAGGGAGAGCTGGTACGCCAAGGCCTCCAAGCAAGTCTTCTCTCTTCAGATGTGCTGAAGAATGTTGCCCCATTCCCATCTTAAAAGAATAAGTCACCTGCCAGTTCAGTCAGTTTTCCTACATGGAATTGGAACAGAATGGGAGGCAGAATTTGGGTATCCCCAGGGCTACTTCTGAATATGGTTTTATGTTGTCTGCCCGTTATGTGGTTTTGCTTGAAGAGCAATATATCTACAACTATAAGCAGGTCTCCTGCTTATCTAGAGGCATCAGTCTAGACCAGGGGTCAGCAAACCACGGCTCTAGAGCTGCATGTGGCTCTTTCATCCCTCTGCTGCGTCTCCCTGTCACTCAAAATATGTATCACAATTGCCAATGTGCAACACCCGCCAGCATGTGATTTATTGAGCTTTTCAACCCCGGTAGGCCAACCATGGATAAATCCAAGAAAAGAAAAGTTTCAGAAGAAAACAGAATGTTTAATTCAACTACATATAGTAGTTTTGTGGCCGCTCAGGAAATAGTCAGGCATGGAAAGGGTTTTGTGGCTCCCAGTGTTTTCTTTTCTGTGAGAAACAGGTCCAAATGGCTCTTTGAATGTATAAGATTGCTGACCCCTGACCTAGACAATTTGAAGCCTGGCTTTTCTCTCCTCTGACTACCATCAGATTTTATTTCCATTTTGTAGATTTCACTTCCATTGGAGGATTGGTCAAAATTAGTGGTCAGAAATCCTTGGCCTGTGAAGACGGGATATTTCTTCACATTTCCAGAACGGAGTCATTTTCCTTACTCAATACACCAGAAACTTGGTCATTGGCATACCGTTTGATTTTGGAAAGATCAACATTTGCGGGAAAGAGACAAAAGTAATAAGATAGTTGTTGAATGCATTTGGTTAATGTGTCTGTATTTTCCCTTTAAAAAATTAGGGATAACGATCTCATACATGCAGAATGACTTTAGGTTCTAAGGGACAGATGAGGGACTCAACTTCCTTTGGAAATTTCATATCCATCCCTGTTGCCTCACTACTTCTCTGGGCCCATAGGATTTAGAGAAAAGAGTTTTCTCTGTAGGGAAATAACAGTACTCTATACATGATTAAATCTTTCCTTTTGCTTATGATACTGCATAACTCCTGATGTAAGCACAGGACATTTTGCGCTGTATTTTGTCACTTAAATCATTCCTTCCAGTCACCACTCTATTCTTTCTCTTGTATGTCCTGTTGGCATTAATTCCAATTTGGATCCACCTATTACTTTTCCTGAAATCCATCAATCAAGTTCCCCTTTCCTAAAACTAAAAGTTTTATTCCTTTATTTTTTTTTCTTTCCTGCTCCAGAGTTCCTCGCCTCCCCCTCCCCCCCCGCAAGTTTGCAGCTGCCTCGATGTATCCAAACGTCCGCTTGCAATTACAAATAAAGGAGCTCGTTTGGATTGGGGTGGGGTGGGGGGAGCTGGGAAGGGACAACGGGCAGTATTTGAAAATCTGTGGAGCAGAATTCCTGTGTGGAAGGCAAGGCTCCCTCCCCCTGCCCTCATTGATTTGAGGCGGGGAGGAGGGAGGCGGGGGAGGCGCTGCCTGGGTGGTCTCTTCTCTCTCCACTTTGGTGAGCTGTTGCTTAGCAGCTAATAATAGGAGATGTTTGCGGAGTAATTTGCCTCTTCCTCGGCCAATGGGAACTGGAGCACTTTCCCATCAAACCAAACCTTCCTCCCCCCTTTCCTCTTTTCAGGATCTCGAAGGAGGCTGTTTGTTCCAAATGTTGGTGGGACGGGTTCCGAGGCGCACAGCACCGCCGGGCACCCGAGCGACTCTCCTCTCGCTCCCGGAGGCTGTGTGAGTGCTTTGCTCCCCCGTCTCCCGCCGCGCGTTGAAGGGCCACGCTGGGCGGCGCCGAGGGCGTCTGGGGTGCGCCCGCATGGCCCCGGATTCGCCCCCATAATGTTCGCATGGGATCCCCGCAGAAGCCATTCTGAAGCCTCGGACCCCGCACTTTTCTCTCGTGGATTACCGCTCTTGGGAAGCCGCCGGAGCTCCCTCGCTTCTCGTCCTCGTTCGACCCCGCACCATGGCTTCGGGTCAGCCGGTCCCCGGGAGCTGGGGCTTCTTTGGAGAGCTCCCGTCGTCTTACGCGGCCGCTGCCAACTCCGATCTCCTTCGGAGACCCAGCTATTGCCACGCAGCCTTTGCCCTCAAGCAAATCTCCAAGGTAAGGAAGCGGGACGGCGGCGCTTTTCCCACGGATGGGGAGGAGACGAGTGGGTAAAACTTTGGGGGTTCCTTCTCTTCAGGAGCAGTTTTGCAAAGGGGTGAAGGCGAAAGCAGCCCTCTTGGACGCGGGCGTGGGGGCTGCGTGATGGTAGATCCTCGAGGAGTCCCCCGGCTTGTTTTGGGGTGGGAGATGAAAGGAGGGGGCCGGTTCTCCAGAGACAGTCTGCTCTGGGGTCTCAGAAACTTGTTTATGGAAAGAGGGGAGACGAAGCAGAGTCTTCCTAGGGGGGGGACTGTTCCTAAATGGGGAGCCAGGAAAGGCCTACTCCCGAAAATATGCCTGAGAGGATGGGAAGGGGATAGGAACAGGAGGACCCGCTGCTTGAGTGTGAGGAGGAGAAGGAGGATGGATTTTGCCTAGTCATGTGGAAAGAGAAGTCTATCGTGGTCAGACCTTCAGAATGAAACCACGGGGAGGACCAAGAGAGCTAACTGAGAGAAGGGTGGAAGAGGCTGAGGGAATGAGGTAAGACAAAAAGATGCAGCTGATAAATGGGGAGAAAAAGCTTACACCTCTTTTTCTCCCCTCTTTCCCTGGAAAGTATCTGGGAGTTAAGTTGACCAGATTCTTGACATTCTAGCTGCAATGAGGCTACAGACACCAAACAAGGAGCTTCAGATAAGAGCTGTGTTCAGGAGAAAGAGAAGGTGAGATTCCTTCTCTAAGCCATTATCTGGGTGAGACAACCCCACCAAGTCTTAACTGTAAACTTTACAGTGACTTCTCTCTCTCTCTCTCTCTCTCTCTTTTTTTGCATAGTAGCTACCCAAAGTATAAGTGTAGATGGACCCGTATCTAGAAGCATCAGTCACTAGTGCAGCAGCCTTTCTAAAACTTTGCATCCTTCAGGTGTGTTAGACTATAAAGCCATCACTTTCAACCAACACAACCTTAAATACAGTGTGTGAAGGTTATGGAGTACAGTCCAACGCATCTGGAACTGCACAAGGCAAAGGAAGGCTGAACAAACTCAAACTCATATCTTCAAACTAGAAGGGAAGAATCAGCAAGGAGATGAATAAGTTACTAGCAAATAGATTCAATTGAGGCCCTAGCAGATGACTATAGGGAAACACCTATGGCCCCAAATCTGTGAGTAAGATTTCACAGGAATGCTTTACTTAAAGCTAGTAAATCTTCCTGAACCCCAGTGCTAGCTAATCCTCAAACAGGATGTTCCATGTAAGGAAATCATTTTGGCTAACTTTCAGTTTTTCTCCCCAGGGTAAAGCTGTTGGCCAGAAAGCCCCACTGTGGCTGCGGGCCCAGTTCCAGGCTCTGTTGTTTACACTGGGCTGCTGGATCCAGCATCATTGTGGCAAAGTGCTTTTTGTGGGGCTGCTGGTCTTTGGGGCACTGGCAGTAGGGCTGCGAGTAGCCTCCATCGAAACTGACATTGAACAGCTCTGGGTAGAAGGTAAGTTTCTTCCTGGTTGATGTGACTGCTAGGAGGACTACATGTAACATGGAGTGTGTTAGGGGTGAGATAAAAGTTGTCTAACACATTGGAAGAAAATTTAGTTTTGCTACCAGACAGCTCATATATATTTGAGCACAAAAATGAAAAGGAATTGTGTCCTGGTGTAATATGTATGTAAACTAGTAAAAGCATTGCATCAATATTTTTTACTTTTATATAGAACAAAATAATTTTAGGACATTTCTTTGCATTACAACAGATAAACATTGATAGCAGATATTGTAAAAGTATGGAATACAGGCTTTCTGTGTTTTATGGCAGTTATGTAGGCAACTTCAAAGTAAAAAAATAAATATGGGTTTTACTTCAGTATTGTTTGTTTTGTCACTTAAGACTGTTCCAGAGATTGTGTGGATAAAAGGTATCCAGAAGGTATCTGTTTTGAAGGTTTTAGTAACGAGATGCAACATATTAGGAACAGTTTCTGAAGTTTTGGGAAACCACAGATTTTGATGTTTACTTGTTTACTTATTTATTTATTACATTTTACTTTCTCTTTGAGAAACTTCCAAGTTGCTAGTCTGGCATATGAAGTATTATGCAGAGGCACACCTATATAGTTTAAGCAAAAGAGTTTTAGTTACCCATCAGGCCATTTTCTGATAAGAATGAAATTGTGGTTATTCTCTAGATTGACCTTGTGCCTAGGCCAGGAAATTTCTCTTTAATCTCAGGTTTGTTCAGAAACATTTAAATTAATCTGTTTTGTTTTTTTTTTTTAAAAACCCTATGACTTAAAGCCACAAGTTTTAGGAAGCATATCTTACCCACAATCCATAGATTTATTAACTTTTTTTTTAAAGAGACAGTTTGACTCCTGTGCCAGATTTGTTCATAGGATAGTATGTTTGTGTATAAACTTTTCATTGCTGTTCTGCATTTGTGTTCCTGTGCACATTGTCTCATTGTAAGTTGTGTGCAATCCAGATTTCTGTCAGTGAAAATGCATTCTTCCACATATATGTATAGAGGATTGTGTGTTGTTGGTATGATTTATTTGGTTAGGGATTTTCTTTCTTTCACTGTGATATGTATTTGTGTTGGGGGGACACTAAAGGAGAATCATTGTACACATGTTGTGCACTGACAATAAAGGTTGAATTGAATGGAATTGAAATTCAAGTATAATTAGACCGATTGTCTCCCCTCATGGTTTTTCTTGCCACCAATTCCTGATGGGTTCATTACATTATTGATATTCAAACACTGAATTATCTTTTGAGGGTGATACTGAAGGAGTGAATAATTGCAGCCTGCAACCAAGGTGTCAGTTGCACTTTGGTTTGGATCCCACTCTCTGGCAACTGAAAATGAATTCAGGTTAAATGCAGTCAGCCCAAAACAATGGCATCATCCAGGAATACATCTTAATTTGATTTAAAAAATGATGTTTTAGGAAGTCCAGCATGCTAACTCTTTTAAAATTGCTGCTATTTCATCCTGTTCTTTCCCTTCCATCCACTCCCTTGCAATCTTCTCCCTTCCAACTCCAGGTTGTGCTGAATTTTCACACCCTGGGACTTATTTATTTATTTATACTTTTTTTTTTTGCAAGCAGCCTGGGAGCTTTCCAAGAGCAGATGTTTCTCTGTGATGACTGTCAGCGATCTTTGGCGTTCCACACCTCCTCCCCCTGCACAACCCAAACTCCATGTGTGGTCCTAAACTACTCTTGGATTTTGTTCAACAATAAAGGCAACTTTACTCTTCCACCCTCCCACTCCCTTTTAAATAAAACCACTCTCACATGAATGCCAGTAAAGTTTACCCACCTGTTTCACACTCTGAAAGGGGATTGGAAAGAAAAGAAAATATCTCAACCTTAGCCTTTTCCCCTCCCCTATTTCTTGCCTCTGTGTGATAGAGTCTCATGGCAAAAGGAGATCCATCAAAAATCTGCAGCTGTTTAAACATTTAAAGATGGGAAATACCCTTTTTTAGTAATCAACACATCTTAGTCCAAATCAAGAACCTCCCCTGAGAACCTACAGAATTAGGTTTGTTCTTACTGTTTGGCCATTGACAGTTTGCTCAGTTTTTATGATAGGATTCTTCTTTGGTGCTTGTCCCAATGTTGAGTTGCTGCTTGCAGGATCTAGGGCTCAGCTTTGAGTGCTGCTAAGAAGAGAACCTATGCACAGTCTTAAAAGAAATTCTCACTGATGCCATTTTGAATAGATACTTCTCAACACCATAGGTTGTGTATTACAGCAAATGATTGTGCTTGTACTTCAGTGAAATGCAATGTTTATCAGTTGACTAGCATTTGCCACCCACTGTTTTGAGGTATATTGTTGTGGATAGCTATGTGCTAGGAAATTTGGATACAAAAAGTTGGCATACGGATGGAAGTAAGAGAAGATTTCACCTATATATCTCCTTTCCTGCTGTTCCTCCATCTTCTATTCTATAAATATGGTTATAAATCCTTTTGGTAGTTAAAACACAGTTTTTTCCCCTTGGAAATAAGTACTCATGTGAAAGTGCTGCATTGAATTCTGCATTCTTTTCTGTAGTTATTGTGGGTCTCTTGAACATAAGTTGGTTATCAACATACTGATTTCTAAATTTTCCAATGTTACCTCCAAGCTGATTATTTATAGTGCTGTGCACAGAATACAAAGCAGTATTTGGGTTCATGACTGAATTTGACATATGCTTCATCCTTTGTCATCATTGGTTTGGTTTGAGAAAAGCCCTAAATAGGCATATCTCGGACAGTGAGAGGAAAACTTTTTCTGCATTTCAGAGATTGGCAAGGCTGAAACCAAAAATAGATAGACCAGAGTTGAAAGTGGGTGTGTTCCTCTTCCCCCCCCCTTTTTTTGGCAACTCTCTTTTCCCATTTTCTTGTCTTATCCGCCTCTTCTTTCCTCATATAGATGTAATTCTTAAGGGAAGAATAAATAATTCATGCCAGACATCAGAACTAGTTGCTGTCTGGTGGTGATCGTGTTTTCTTTTCTGTATTTTGGGTTTTTCCCTCAGTCTTTTTCTCTTCCCTAAACCTCCAGATTGAACTCTGGGCTCATCCACATATTGAAAGTAGCCTGTGGATCTCACAGCACAGATTGTTAGCCCTGATCTAGGGAGAGGCTTCTTTTATCCTACTGTAGTATAATTCTTTTTGCCGGTTCATATCAATGGCAACTTCTCAGAATTTATTTCATCAGTACGTACAGGTAGTCCTCGACTTATGATACAATTGCACTCAAAATTTCTGTTGCTAAGTGAGACCTTTGCTAAGTGAGGTTTGCCCCATTTTACAATCTTTCTTGCCACAGTTATGAAGTGAATCACTGCAGTTGTTCAATTAGTAAAACAGTTGTTAAGTGAATCTTCCTTCCCCATTGACTTTGCTTGTCTTAAGGTTATAAAAGGTAACCCCAGGATATGACAACTATTATGAATCAGCTGCCAAATGTCTGAATTTTGATCATGTGACCATGGGGATGCTACAGTGGTCATAAGTGTGAAAAATGGTCATAAGTCACCTTTTCCAGTGCTATTTGAATGGTCACTAAGTGAATTGTTGTAGGTTGAGGATTACCTGTATATTACAATGGATATGGGAATCATCCTTCAAATGTAACTTCTGCCCAAAACATTGGTTCTGAAAGCACAAAATGTTCAGTCCATCGCATGGGGTGTCAAACTGGCAGCCTACGGGCTGGATGTGTCACGTGCAGGCCACGCTCACCCCAGCTCCACAAATGAGAAAAACGTCATGGGACAGCAACATGACGCAGCAAGTTTGACACCCGTGGTCTATAGCAGTGGTCCCCAACCTTTTTATCGCCGCGGACCAGTCAGCCTTTGATAATTTTACCGTGGCCCGCTGAGCGTGCGCAGGGGTGGGGGGGCATTGTTCGCAGTTTCGGTGGAATACGTCGATGACCAGCACTAGTAGCGTAGCCTTGCGCAG